CTTCTACAGCTTGCGGCCCGGACAACATACCTGTTATAGTCTTGCAGAAGTGTTCTCCTAACCTGTCGTCTATCTTTTCAAAACTATTTAACAAGTGCTTATCAGAGTCTTGTTTTCCAGCCTGCGGGAAAGCAGCATCTGTTATCCCTATTTTTAAAAATCCCGGAGAGCGATCTGACTCATCTAACTATCGTCCCATTAGTCTTCTTCCTATCATAAGCAAGGTTTTTGAATCTTTAATTAATAAACACTTAATCTCTCATCTCAAATCTCATAACCTACTTTCTGATCATCAGTATGGATTTCGATCTTCTCGTTCTACGGCTGATTTGCTATCAGTAATAACCGATAGGTTTTATCGCGCATTAGATAAAGGTGGAGAGGTTAAGGCCATTGCTCTTGACATTTCTAAAGCGTTTGATAAAGTTTGATATGTTGGTCTCCTCCATAAGCTTTCTTCTTATGGTGTATCTGGAAACATCTTTAAGATTATTGAATCCTTCCTTTCCAATCGTAGTATAAAAGTTGTCCTTGATGGACAGCACTCTTCTTATTCTGTAACCTCAGGGGTTCCTCAAGGTTCAATCCTTGGCCCTATACTCTTTTTAATTTACATTAACGATCTTCCAGATATTCTCACATCTAAGGTGGCATTGTTCGCTGATGATACTACCATTTATTCTTGTCACGATAAGAAGCCAACTCCCTCTGATTGCTTGCAGGGGGCATCTGAGCTCGAATAGGATCTCACTTCTGCTACAGCATGGGGCTCGCAGTGGCTGGTGAACTTTAGTTCAGATAAAACTCAATTTTTTTTCGGCCAATCGTTATCACAATAATTTAGACCTTCCTATATTTATGAACGGTAATGTACTCGATGAGTCTCCTACCCTTCATCTTCTAGGATTAACTCTTACTTCTGATCTTTCTTGGAAACCTTATATCAAATCCGTTGCAAAATTAGCATCTGCTAAAGTTGCTTCTCTTTATTGAGCTCGTCACTTTCTTACTCTGGATTCTATTCTCTATCTCTATAAATCTCAAATCCGGCCATGTATGGAATACTGTTGCCATATCTGGGGCGGATCTTCTAATGATGCCCTTTCTCTTTTAGACAAGGTGCAAAAACGCATTGTAAACATAGTTGGACCTGCTCTTGCAGCCAACCTTAAACCTCTGTCACATCGTCGTAATGTTGCTTCTCTTTCTCTTTTCTACAAATACTATAATGGGCACTGCTCTAAAGAGCTAGCGTCTCTTGTGCCATCTACTAAAATTCATTCTCGTGTTACTCGTCATTCAATTAAGTTTCATCCTTTTTCTGTGACGATTTTTTTAGGTGCTCCAAAAACTCTTATTAGTCTAGTTTTTTTCCTCGAACATCAGTTCTTTGAATTTCACTTCCTTCATCTTGCTTTCCTGATTCATATAATTTGCAATATTTTAAGTCGTCTGTCAATCGTTATCTTGCTTATACAACAATACTAATATAAATTTTGCGATAAGTAGTAATTATTTTTTTTTATATATATTTTGTTTATCAACAACATCTTCATGCACTTCTATTACAATACAAAAACCGCAATACATAGTTACTTATATGAACTCAGTGGGTTTATTACGTCAGTCTATGAAAATACTTTTTTTTTAAGTACCAGAGTTTCCACTCATACGGGAACGGGAAAAGGACGGGAAAAATAATCACGTGGGCATGCGTAGTATAAGTTTTAATATGTCCGAAGGAAAACTACGCATGCTCACGTGATTATTTTTCCCTTTCCTATCCCGTTCCCGTGAAAAAACGGATGAGTGGAAACTCACCTTTAAAAGCGTTTCAAATAAAATAAGGTAGTTTAAGAAGATAACATAAAATTTTATTTCTAAATTGATTTAATAAGAAAAATAAAACCTGGATTATTATTAAAACCTGGATAGAAACATGGATTATTATTAAAAACACTCATCATTATAGTATCAATGTAGTATTTTTGAATGTACGATAAGTTTGAACTAAAAAAAATGTCATTCCTTACACATCGTATGTCCAATAAATAATCAATTTTATTCTTTTTAACTAAAAAATTAAAATTATTTCACTTAGATTCTTTTACAATGGCAAGACACAAGTTTAAGAAAAAAGTTTGTAGCTAAAAACAAAGACTTTAATATACAGATAACCAATTAAGAGATGCTATTAATGCTGTTAAAAAAGGTATGGTCGTGTACAAAGCAAGCAAGACGTTTGGAATTCCTTATCATACGCTTCGTGATAAAATATCTAGAAAAACTTCTCTGAAGACCCAACTGCGGTTATGAATCGGTACTAGGTGAATACATTAAAAATAAATTAGTCGAGTGGTTACTAACATGCACCGGAATAGGATTTGCCATGTCTGTAGTACAGCTATTAGATACTGTGCAAAAATACTTGAATTTTAACAATATAAAAACACAGTTTACTAACAACCGTCCTGCAAAACGTTGGTTTTATGCATTTCTTCGCCGTCACGAACAGCATCTCAAAAACGAGGTGAATACTTAAACCGAGCTAGAGGAGGAGTAACTGAAAAAGCCATAAGATAATGGTTTACTGAAATTCCAAAGCTTTTAAGAGAAAACGCTCAATATTTAAATGATTCGATACGCGTTTTCTATATGGATGAGAGTGGTTTTCAGTTGTCACCAAAAACTAATTTATTAATTGGTGAACGAGAAAAAAATACATATAAAGAAAGTGCTCGAAGTAATTAAAAAAGCATTACCACTTTATTTGCAGTAAATGCCAGCGGAACATTTGCTTCATCATTAATAACTTTTAAAGTAAAAATGGTTAGATGACCGCATAATGTTTTTTTGAGAATATTACAAACGTTTTTCATCCATTTTTGATAAAAGAAGACACTCCTTTACCAGTTATTATTATTTTTTTTTTGATGGTCATGCGTCACATTTTTCTATCGAATTTAGTGAGTTTTGCTCTAAAAATGTAATAATTTTTGTTGCTTTGTTCCCAAATGCAAGACATATTTTGCAGCCGCTCGATGTGGCAGTTTCTGGGCCAATGAAAGCAAAGAAATCTTTTTGCCGACAATGGCGCATGGACCATGAAGGACAAGAAATAAACAATAAAAGTGTACCAGAAGCATTAAGTTCATTTATAATCGATCCTTCTATGGTAAATAATGGTAAAAGTGGTTTGATGCTATTAGTGTGGACTACACAAAAATTGTTCAAAGATTATGTGAGTCAACTGTGGCTTCGATTCCTTATTTATATGAGAATCAACCAAGTGTGACTTTATCAGCTTCCTCTTCCATAAACTTTAAAAACTGCATTGATCCAAGTATTTTAGAGCAAATTAAAATAGATGACGAAGAATTAGGTTGGAAAGGTGATCTTGAATACCTCCAGCTGTATCATTTTTGGAAAAGAGCCTCATTTAACTTATAAGACCAAAATTTTAACTGATGAAATACAACAGGGTAATAAAAATCTATCAACAATTTGTAATTTAGAAAATGTACAAGTTATAACCGGTATGGAAATGCCTGATTGCAATATTGCAGCGGTAATAGAACCAAAACCAGCTTGTTCTAGTTTGAAAATAGCAGCAGAAATCATAAATCCAATTGAAAGTGTTTTAATATGACCAAAATAACCAGTCTAAACGCCCAAGCACACAATAGAACGTTTACCATCAGTTGTAACACTGATGGTAAACGAAACGTGGCAGCAAATGCAAGAGACAAAATTGCAAGAAAAGTCACAAATAAATAATGAAAAATTAAGAAAGAAACAATTAGCTGCAGATAAAAAGTCAGAAATAGAGGAAGAAAGATTAAGAAAGAAATAAATGGCTATGGAGAAAAAGTTATTAAATGAAATAACTAAAAAAGAAAAAGAAAACATGAAAAATTTTAAAAAGAAAGTCGCAAATGAAAAAACTAGTCTTGAAACTGAGTCAGAAAACGAGTTCCATTGTTAACAATAATCATAAAATAAGACTCAGATAATTATGATGAAACTCTAACTTTTCCAGTTTAAAAGATCTGTAGTAAAATAATGAAAATGCTTTTAAAATCTTTAGTTTTAGTTCAAAATAATATTTTCATTACTGTATAATTAATGTTTATTTAATAGTCTTTTTTTAAAATTTATATATCTAAAAACGTTTAATAAAATGTTACTAATGCATTTAATTTTCATTTAAAACCGCGAGCGCATTATAAACCAGTCACTAAAGCAGATTTAAAGATATATGATAAGTATCACACTTATCGTATATATTATACGATAAGTGTGAAACACTTACGATAAGTAAGGAAAACTGCGCTTTAAAAGTTTGATCAAAATAAATACATTATTGAATTAAATTTCAGAGTGAGAATAATTTTAAACTAACCCTTATAGTATTACATTGACGGCTGCAAAAATTCATTCATTTCAAATAAATTTCTACTTTTTGATTAATCTAACATATTATAATAACTTTTGTTAAACTCACGGTAAGTGTGGAAACGACCCTATATGGTAATATAACACTGAACTTAAAAGTTTTTAAATAAAAAATATTTTAAGTGATGTCTGAAGACCCTGGATTATATTATGGGCCCCTAATATTAATAAAAAATAGGTTTTTTTAAAAGTATGTCTTGTTTGGTCTCAAAAGAAGCGAAATTATATGAAAACTTCAAAAACAGTGTTTGATTTAAAAAAAAAACATTAATAAAAATTATAACTAAAAAACTTCTTAAAAACGCATATTTTTTATTTTTAGTTGAAAAGTAACATTTTCAAGACAGTAAAATCTAAAATAAGATATTTTTTTCTAAAATGATGGTTATTTTTGAAATTTTTATATTTTGCTTCAATTGAGACACAACGAGACATTTAAAAAGCCTATTTTTTTATGCGATATAAAAAAAAATAACGATTGTCAAAACAAATATGCTTTGCTTAAAAAAAAGTTGAATATTTTTGCTTGAAAAAATATCATATCCTATTTAAAAATCTAGTATCTGTTAAAGATCATCATCATCAAGTTTAATTGAAACTTACAATGATATAAATTGAAACTTTACTTGCTTATAAAAAAATCCGATCAAAACAACCATTCCTTGCCTAATCTTAAACCGCAAAAATGTTTTGATATTTTAAATGTTAGTAAGCACTGACGATCATAACTAGATTGGATAAAGTGCGATCAATAACTTGATTGGATAAAGTGCAATCATTAACTTGATTAGACAAGATAATAATGAATCGGATTACTTAAGGACGCGATAATTAAGTGTAAGTTCCGAACTACTTTTCCAAATAAAATGGCGGATAGTTCGTAGGTCCATCTTTGGATTTAAAAGCTAAAATTATAATATTTGTTAAATTATTATTTAACAGTTTCAAAAAATTAATAAAAAATGCGACAAGGAAATCTCACCACATCGTTACAATGCAGTTCAATTTTAGCTTCAGCTATTGCAGCAAGCTCATCAGCACCAATAGTAATTGGCTTGTCGTTTTCGGAAAGAATATATTTTTCGTAAACATGCTCCATGATTTTTTTCACCTGAAGCATATCACTAGCAGTCAAACGATCTCTAAAAAAGTATCGATTACTCTTATTTAAAATATATATATATATATATATATATATATATATATATATATATATATATATATATATATATATATGTATATATATATATATATGTATATATATATATATATATATATATATATATATATATATATATGTATATATATATATATATATATATGTATATATATATATATATATATATATATATATATATATATATATATATATATATATATATGTATGTATATATATATATATATATATATATATATATATATATATATATATATATATATATATATATATATATATATATGTATATATATATATATATATATGTATATATATATATATATATATATATATATATATATATATATATATATATATATATATATATAAATATATATATATATATATATATATATATATATATATATATATATATATTTATATATTTATATATATATATATATATGTATATATATTTAATTTTGTTATTAGCACGTTTTCAAGTCGAAAAGCATTCATCATTATAACAAGAAAAACCTTTTTCTTTTAAATGAAGATGGTTATAAATAAAAGAGCTTTTATCTTTCTGTAGTGGTCAATCATTCGTGTTTAAGTAACTAGAAGTTTCGCCAATATAACATGATTTATAGTTGCTTGTGTAGGGTATAAAACAGAGAAGATAAAAACTCTCTTATTTATAAGCATTTTCACTCAAAAGAAAAATGTTAAACTAATTACAGTGATGAATGATTTTAGATTTTAGATCGTGTTATTATGTCGGGTAAATAAAAATGAGCAATTGCTTTTACTCCGATTTTTTGGAGTAATTGCTCAAGTTTTGTGAAAAAAAATTTTAAGCTTTTTTTTTTCAAAAAGTAACTATAATAGTTACTTTTTGTTTTTGAACTTTTATTTTAATATTTTGCTAATTTTTGACAATTTATATATATATATATATATATATATATATATATATATATATATATATATATATATATATATATATATATATATATATATATATATATATATATATATATATATATATATGTATATATATAAAACATTTGATAACTTAAACTTTTTAATAAAATGATCAATTTTATTAATTCAAAAAGTATAATAACAAAAAAGGTCTAATTTAACTAATTTGACAAGACTTTTTGAATACTCATTTTTATTGACTGATTGGCCCGATGGAGCTATGTAAGTATGGAGTAATACTAAGAAATCGGAGTAATGTTGTGGTGTAATGCTATGGAGTAATGCTGAGAGATTACTTTCGTTTGATTTTTAGACATCTTTATTGCTTTTTGACCACTTCCAACTTTTCTTTTTGGTCCTATATTGTTTCCCTTTCATTTTAGTATATTATACAAAGTAGATTTTGGGATGCTTTTCATTCGAAAATGTTTGACAATAAAGCTTTTATTCTCAAATGCGTACATTGGTTTTCTTGGCGAATCTTCGTCATAAGCCTTTTTTATCATTTTTAAATATAACCAGGCTGTCAAGCAGCAACTTTCGAAAAAAATGACAAAAAATGACGGTATTTTGAGAATAAAAATGAAAAAAAATGAAAAAAAATGACTGATTTCATCATAAAAATGAAAAGTTCAATAATTTTATTTTGAAAATAACAAACAATATAACAAACAAAATCATCCGCCATCAATAATTTCTTTTAAAAATGAAAACCTCAACATCTTTTTGTTGTTTAACACAGAATAAAACGTTTTTTCTAAAGTCTAAAATAATTAACATAAATAAATAAATTTTGCTAAACAATTATAACTGAACTAACAGTTCAAGCTCTTTTATATTTACAAAAACTTTCAAACTTTTAACGACTACTTTAACTTTTTGCAACGCTTAATTAATCTATCCATTTCACTTTTACGTTTTAAACCAATATTTTCTCTCAACTTTTTCTGTTCATTTCTATGAGATGTAGCATTTTCAAGACTTATTTTTGCGCTGTTTACCGTTTCATGGGCAATTTTTATACCCATCATGTCTTCCTTAATAATGGCACTTTGCATAGACTTTGCTGCTTCATCGAGCATTCTCTGAGCAAGCTGAAACTCAAGATCTGCATTTTTTTCATCATTCTTTAGACTTTTTTCCTGTTGATCTAAATTTTTATTTTGATTTTCAACTTTTTCAAGCATTTCTTTCTGCTCTTTTTCTTTATTCATTAGTTCTTGCTCATGAATATAATTTTTTCTTTTTTCTTCGTCTTCTTCAGCTTTTCTTTTTTTATATATTTTATGAGCATTTTGAACAGCTTGAACAAAGTCTTTGGAGAGTGCATCAACATTATATGCTCCTCTGCAACTTCTTGCATATTCTTTTGATATTCTCAAAGCCATTAATGTTTCATCATTTAGATTTACTCTCTCAGGAGTTAATGTATTTTTGTTATCAGATAAACTTCGCTCAGCACTGGCATTTCCATTCTGAATTATTAAACAGCTCTTAACAACTTTACTGAGATACCCATACTTTGTTTTTCCATATTCATTGTTACTTTCAAAAACTTTAGCCCAATAATGGTCTACTCTTTTTAGTTTTTTTGTATCAAAATCTATATACCAGTCTTTTGATATATTAGCTGCTTGGTATAATTTCCATTCATCTTTCAGAAATGATACCTGTACAAAAATTAAGATAAAATTGTTATGGAGAAAGTGTTAACATTTAAAATTAAAGGAAAATTTAATTATATTAAAATTAAAATAGCTCGTTAACTAATAATTTACAAACAACAATTTCTGATTTGTAAATTAAAATAATAATTAGTAAATTTTGAAAATGTTAAATAATATATTTATATGGTTAATGTACTCTGCTATTTCAATTATATAGTAGATTATAAATACTTATAGTAGATTATAAATACAATATAAATACTTATACTATTTAAAATTTTCAAAATTTACTTATTATTAGTTTAATTTACAAATCAGAAATTATGTTTATATATATATATATATATATATATATATATATATATATATATATATATATATATATATATATATATATATATATATATATTTATACATATATATATATATATATATATATATATATATATATATATATATATTTATACATATATATATATATATATATATATATATATATATATATATATATATATATATATATATAATATATATATATATATATATATATATATATATATATATATATATATATTATTACAGTTATTTAATATAAAATTATTTAAATATTCACCTCCTTTTCCGTAATTACATGTGGCATTCTAACTGCTATTCGCCCAATTGCATTAACAGTCCAAGGTTCTGATCTCATTTGAGCACCCAAACAAGTTATATCTTTTAATATCTGCAAATCAAGTGGAAGTTTTTTTTGCAAGTGTTTTACAACAGATATATATCCATCTCTCATTTGCTGTAAGAAGACAAATCTTTTTTTTTCACATGATATTTTGTTCACCTAAAACATATTTATATTGAAAATCTGCATCAATGAAAATGAATAAAAAAACTTAATTTTTAATAATAAAATACCTAATGAATAATACAATAAACAAAATAGTTTATATTGCCTAGTACACTTATACATAATTACCAAGTACACATTAACCAGGTAGTAAATGTGCAACTGGTAAATGTAGCAAATGTGTACCTATCAAAAATTACCTGGTTTTTAGCTTCCTCGCCAAAGTCCATTTTATTCAAACCAAGGTGGATAGTTGAATCAGAAGAATCAATTTTTAAAAGATCTTTAGTAAGCTTTCCATTAACAGCAGTCGGTTGAAGGAAACGTTTCATTAAAGATATTAAAAGATTTTTCATTTTATAAAATAAAATATGAACAAGTGGTCCTTCATCTTGAAATATTGTCAAGTATTTCTCAAACAAGGGAGCTAAACCAATAAGGAATTTGATGGACACAAGTAACTCCTAAAATAATCAATTCTCTATTATATGTAATAATTCAAAAAAAAATAATAAGAAGAATAACTTTAATTAGATTTTCAGTTTCCCTAAGACTTCTTTGAATTCGAATATAACGCTTATTGTTTGTCAGTGTCTTTTTATACTAATTTTGTTTTGGAATATATTCCAAAAAATATTTCTTGGTGTCTTCCCACCTTAATAGAACCTTTATAAGTGAAGAAGAAAGAGTGAGCCATCTAGTATTGACAAAACGAAGAAACAATGTTTCATCTTCAATAAAAATGCAATCTGATAATTTTTTAAAATCTTTTATTTTACAGGGTGCATTCTAAAACAGAAAAAAATTATAGACACTACACTTTATTAGCTAGTCGTATAATAGACTATTAGAATAAAAAATAATAATAATGTAAGAAAAATAACTTCATAGGTAAAATAAAAAATTCTCTTTTAGTATTAACTGCAGTAAAATCCCGTTAAGTTAGACTCTCACAGGGAATAGATAAATAGTCTGACTTAGCGAATGTCCAAATAAGCTAAGCTTTTTGTATGTACAGAAAGCTTAAAGGGAATTGAAAATCTGTCCGACTTAGTACAAATCCAACTTATCCAGGGTCTGAATTAATGGGATTCTACTGTATAAAATTACACAAATAATTACCTTGAACCAGTTATGTAAATCAAATGCAAGCTGCTCAGCATCCTCACCGACAACATTAATTGCTTTTCGAAAAGCATTATGCACTGTGTGCAAAGTGCAACTTACAAATGGTAACAAGCCATTAAAACCATTACTATGAAGATCAGCATTTAACAATCTCCAAATGGCTTTGTTAATATTAGGACCATCTGCTGAAATATTAAAAAGACGATCCCATGGTAAATAAAACCTTTCATTATGACGTAAATCTGCTAGCATTGTTTTGACATCTTCTGCTGTTGCTCTGCCAAAGAACAGCGATGTTAATCGCTGTTCTTTGGCAGAGCAACAGTGTTGCTCTGCCAAAGAACACAACTTGGTTTTCGTCTTCTGACCAAAAACGACATACAAGATCCATTTGTTTTCTTTGTTGTGAAGTAGTTGTTTCATCAAACATTAAAGTGAATGCACCTTGACTTAACGCGATACTATTACATAAACGCTTTTCCAACAATGGCCCAAGGCCATCTTGCAAAATATATGAAGATTTTGCCGACTCATAGTAAAACATTGACTTATTTTACTATCTGGAAACATTCTTTGGAACAATATCGGTGTGTTGTCACAATGTCTTAAGGCAAGATCATTATCTGCCACTTTAAAAAGCCACATGGCTTCTGCAGCAGAAATTTTTTCATTTATAGAGAACTCTAATTGTATAACGTTTTCTTCCCCAATCGAGTTTTTGTTAGAATCTACATATAAATGACGAGCAGTTTTTGAAAATCTTAGATCAGACACTGACTTATGTTTAGGTTTTGAAGAATGCTGATATAGTGCTTGGAAACCAACTGAACTGAATTTTAAATCACTTTTGCATAGTTTACAGATAGCATATTCAGAGTTTCTTTTTTCAGCCCATAATTAGATTTTCACTAGATTTTTATCTAACTTTTCCAACCACACATCATTCCACTTAACCATTATACTATATAATCTATTGATAAATATACTAAAAACTAAATATAAAAATCACTAACTTTACTAGTTCTATACTATAGAATGATTTATTTTTTAAAATAATAACACCAATTTAGCAATACAAATGGATAATTAAAATTAAAATGTGAACATGAAAGATTGTAACTGTTATTATAAGATAGTTTTGAAAATTAAATAAAAAACTAAGTAACATAATGTCTAAAACAACTTAAAAATATCAAAAACAGCAATTCTAAGCATTTAAAAAAAACTTTAAAGTGTAAAAAATTCAAGAAAAAAATGAAAAAATGACAAAAACTAACAAAAAAATGAAAAAAAATAAAGAAAAAAAAAAGAACCCAAAAAAAATGAAAAAAATGAAAAAAATGACGACTTGACAGCCTGAATATAACTGAAAAAAAATAATTGTTAATAATACATATAAAGAGTGATATTTGTAACTAAATAGGTGTGATTGCAAGTTTATTAAATTATTCCTTAATATTTTTATATGATAAAAATCAATACCGTCAAAAAAAATTCATCAACCTATCGACCAAACACTTGACATCTCAAATAACTCTTCTCACCAAAGGTCCAAAATTTTGCCCGGCTTCAAATGGTAATTTCTTACATATCGATTCAGATATTAAAAATTTTACTAGAAAACTTATACTAAAAGAAAAATTTTATGGTACCACAAGTAACGATATTAGTTATTAAAAATAAATTCTCAATTGAACAAACTAAACCTATTAAAGTTCAATATATTGATAACATTACAAAACAAGAAAGAGCAGCGATTAAAGAATTACAAGAAATGAAAGACATAGTCATTAAAAAAAGCTGACAATAGTAAAACTTTAGTTGTAATGGATTCGACATTTTATTTTAACAAACTTGTTTATCAAGACTATCTTTTTTCTGTTAATACACATGAAAAAATAAGTTCTGAATCCGATAAAATAGTTTAAGCAATTTTATTAAATTGATAAACAAACATAAAAACCTCACGACAAATGAGATAAAATATATCACAAAATTTAAATGGAAATCTAGTAATTTCTATGTAATTCCTTTAATTCACAAATGCCAATCATAAATCATTAGGGGAGACCGGGGCTAGTTGGCAGCAGGGGTAAGTTGACGAATTGCGTTTATCTGCAAAGTCTTTCATCAAAAAGTGCCAATAATTTCAGGAAACCTTCTTAGTTGACCATTTCATCTTTCACTGTAGTATTGTGGGGATTTGCGCATGCGCATAAAAGATATTGTTTTCTCCACACTTTTGTAACTTTTACAACTTCTTTATTTTTTCGATTTTTAAAAGTAATTTCATCAAGTACACGTAAACTTGATTTGAGTTATATCTTAAATGGTTCAGTAAAATCTGTCCAACCATTATTTTTTATTTATATACGTTTTTCAGGGATCGGTAGGGGAGTTTGTGATCAAATAGCTGTCGGGGTTAGTTGGCAAAATTTTGGCAGGGCAAGTTGGCCGTATATATCAACTAAACCCGGTTGCGATTGGACATAAATTTCAACTTTTTCTATAACTTTTGATTTATTTTTTTAAAAATCGATTAGATAGATAGATCACATATATTACATGCGAAACTATAAATGAAAAACAAAGAGGGCTATAACTCCTTAAAATGTTATAAAAAATGGTGTTGATGCTGTTTTATTAGAAGGAAAATCTATACGAAAAACTGCCAAAGACTTTAATATCCCGAAAAAAAGTTTGTCTCGATACTGCAAAAAGCAACAACGTCATGGTCAGCAAATATCAGGTTACATAAAGTCTAGACAGGTCAGTATATATATATATATATATATATATATATATATATATATATATATATATATATATATATATATATATATATATATATATATATATATATATATATATATATATATAATATATATATATATATATGCACACACACGTGTGTGCATATATATATAGTGTTATTTGTTTTAATATTGATATTGTTCATTTAGGTCTTTACTAATTTACAAGAAGGTCTGTTGGAACAAAATGTGACTAAAGCTTCTGATATTTATTATGGACTTTCTCCAAAGGAAGTGAGGAAACTAGCTTATCAGTATGGAAAAGCGAATAGCATAAAAATGCCTCATAATTGGAGTGCAAATGAAGCAGCTGCAGAAGACTGGTTCAGTGCTTACCTCAAAAGGCACAAAAAACTGTCAATAAGAAAACCTGAGGCAACAAGTCAAGCACGTGTTTCCAGTTTTACAGGGTTCATAGCAGTTTTATAAATCCATTTTCCCTGAGTTTTTCCTGATTATTCCCTGATTTTCACTCAATTTCAAGTAATTTTTCCATGATTTCAGTGGTAAAAAGTATATAATTTTCCTTGTTAATGTTGAACGATATAATACTTTCACAACTGAATCCATGTTTTCTAAATATTTTTTTATCAGAATTTTTTAAACCTTATTCCTTTTTTTATTCTTCTATTAGAAACATAAAATAAAGATTTTTTTTAAAAGATATTTTGAACAAAGTAATGTTTTAACAAAATGTAAACTTTATATAAGATCTATTCTATATAAAGTTATTTTACTATCTTTCTCATTTGATCTAAGATTTTATTAGTGCCTGTTATTGAACTTAGGTACATTCTATATCTTTCATGGGCTGATTTTACATTGATTATCATTTTTTTTGTAATTTCAATATTATGTGGCTGAAGATTATTTGATAACATATGATCTTTAACTAAACGTCATGCAGTTATCGATTTTTAATTTAAATTTTGTTTGAGTACTGCGGCATTTATACTAAAACCTCTATCAACTGAAGCTTATCCATAACTCAGTGTCAAAAGTATTTTGACAATTAATGCCAACTTGTTATATTTATTTAGATTGCACTTTTTAAAATTATCCTTATCATCTAAATTATAACTATAATCTCTATTGAATTAAAAAATAATTATAATCTCTATTGAATTCATGAAAATTGTTTTGGTAAACCCTTGATTCTCTAAAGAAATTTTTAAATCGATTTATAGCTTTATCAAAAAAGACTGATGAAAGATATTTTAAGATAATCAAGTGGGTCAATAAAGATTTGTACTCCTCTGTGTTTTCTAGAGTCATTGTTATCAAACCATTAGGGTTAAAAACCTGAGAATCGCATACAATGATAGACCCTAATGGAGTTCACTCCATGAACTTTTCAATTAGTCATACAAAGCAATCTTTTTGGAAACTTTAAATATCAGTAATTTTTCTTTTAGGTTTTTTTATTGAACTTGACATTAGCCCAAGTCATAGGTTCATTTCAATCATGGATAGAAAATTTTGGTACAGCAATGTTAAAAAAAAAAACTAACTTGTAGTTAAATAGCTTCGCTGTTAATCATTATTGCTTGAAGTCTTGTGGATTTATTTTTATAACATATTAATAATGATAAAGATTGTTTCTATTAACTTGTTTAAGGGTCCTTATCAATCCAAGTGGACTATAAAAATCACCTATCCTTGTGAGCTTTTTAATTTCATTTCTGGAAACATAAATACTTATTACATCTTCTTTTTTTTTCAAGAAGCTAATCTTGTTTCAGCTACAAATCCTAGTTTGATTTGATTTCCCTTAAGTAGATAATCTTTTTTATGAAAATCAACTTCTGTTATAGACCAATTATCAATAACTTTGTGTTTCACAAACAAGTTCAGTATGGTCCACAACAGTCTTTCCAAGTCACTAATCATGAATGGAATCATTGGCTTATCAGTTTGGTACGCCAACAAATACAGCTCTACTATGCTGGCAACAAAGTTGAAAACTTCAAATTTTGAACAAGTTTGTCTTTCACAGCTTTATTGACAATTAAAAGGCATATTGATTTGGGTTGGTTTAATGATGGTAACTTTTCCCAAAACTCGATTAACTAAAATATATTAGACTAGATTTCAATGCCACAATCTGCAACAGATTTATTTTTAATCCACCAAAATAAAAGAAGGTATTTTGTTGTGTCTGTTTCATAATCTTGACGCCTAGCCAGGCTGTTGTGAGGAGTTTTTAGCACACTTTCAGAATTTCTCTAATATTTCATGGTGTGATTCGATAGCTTTTTAGGAACCATGAATAACATGCAAGGAGCAACTTCCAATATTTATAAGCTGTTTTTACTTTTGTTTACTATGTTTTTACTTACAACTTCCAATATTTATAAGCTGTATTGTTGTTCTTTTTGTGTTTATTTAGATCATCTAGAAATTTCAATTTGTAGAGGGTTCGTGGAAACTTAAAACATTTTACTTGAATCAAATCTTGATAAGTATTCGTTAAAATGAGTAAGAACGTCAGAAGCTGTAGAATGACTGAGAAAAGCTGACGTCCAATATCTCATTTCAACTTTGTTATTGACATCCCATTATCGAACGAGTAGGTCCATCTGTCATGTTTTAGTTATGTCCTTCAAACTCTCATCAAAAGATACGATGTAACAATCTGATTTTGTGATTTCTTTGTGTCTTGAAGTAAGGCGCCAGTCCATAGTTAACAATGTATGATATTTTTGAGGAACTCATGCTGAAATCTTCTGCTATCTTACTGTCAAGAAAGATCTTTTTAAAAGAGTTGTTTAAATTTGCACATGAATTATTAGAGAAGTAGAATTCTTATGTATATTTCAGTGCTGAAACGATCTCAGTTGTTCAATAGTTGATAAAGATGATTTAATTGAGAAAACAATAGTGGTTTGTTTTTTGGTGGAAAATGTTGTATTTTTTTCTTCACATCTAAGCAGCTCAGCCCGCAACTCTTTTCCATTAACAAAAAAATAGCTAACAGGATTGTAGTAGATTGATGCTTTTTACCTGAACATTTTTATAAATATGTTGTTGTAATCAATCTTCTTAATAGGTCTTCTCTGAAGTCATTATTTATGTTATTATATTTAACTAAATATTTAATTAAACATAAAGTTACTATATTTTATAAAAGTTATAAAACCCCTGTAGTGAGCAACTTTTAATAAAAAAAAAAACTTTAAATTTGTATGTTACAAAATAACTTCAAGTTAGTATATAAAACTAAAAACCATTCCCTGATTTTTAGGATTTTCAAAAAAAGTTCCCAGATTTTTCCAGGTATTCCCTGATTTTTCACAATTTAAAAACTTTTCCCTGGTTTTCCAGGTTTTCCCTGAGTGTCGTGAATCCTGTTTTAATCCAACAAATGTTCAAAGTTTTACAACAATTTACAAACTATTCCTAATCATTTAAAGTTGGAAAGTGGAGATATTTGGAATAT